TGAAATAAATTTTAGTTGATGCAAGGTAGCATGATAAACCTGATACAAATACTTGTAAACTTTTTATTGATTATTTGAAATCATAAAACAATACACATATACTAAGATTTAGTGACTAAGTTGTGTATTATAGTGAACTCTGTTTTTTTTTTAGATAGTACAAATAATTATATCAAATAAATTTGATAAATTATTGATAAAGTGGTGCATATAAATTATATGTACATGATTTATATCTACATAAGTTTAGAAATTTTAATTTAACAATACTATATAATTTATTATAGTATACAGAGGTGATCAAAATTTACCAAACGATTTGTCTGTGCTGCAATAAAATTTTTTTGCACATATTAATATCCCAAAATTTACCCCAATTTAGAATACTAGAGATGATCTCGTCATATGTATATATGCATTGATACTCAACCTGCATATTTCTTTAAAAAATCTAATTAACATAATACCGATTTTGAAAAAATGCCTTTTCGTGTCAGCAAAAAATAAACTAGCCTTCTCACAAGTTTAAAAGTGATACCATTAGAATGAGATCAACTATCTGAACATGATAATATTTATTTTTTTGCCGATTAAATTACAAATAAGGTTCTAACGGCTATCAACTTAAAAACTTTCACTTAAAGCTTTTATCATAGGATTAAAGGTATAATTTTAATATTAGCGAACATTTTAAGACTAAATTAATATTAAAATTTTATAAGGAATATTTTTTATTAATGCGCAGTAGGTAGCTTTATAGGCAATATTTCAAGTTATACCCATTTTTAGTATTGCATAGAGCCTTTATACTTTCTCGTGTTGTACCTAATTTTAAACTCTTATCAGCCAACTAAATTTCTTAAGTAATATTAGAGTAACTACCACAAGGCATATTAAATAAATAAACTGTTGGTTTAATTAAACTAAAAATTTTTTTACGTATTTACTTTTTTTTGTTTGTTACTTTTATATTTATTTTATTCTACATACTTTTTTTTACTTTGTTTATCTTTTTATATTTATTTTATATTTATTTAATTCTTTTATACCTTTTATTATTGTTTTCTTTTATATTTATTTTATTTAATTCTTTTACTTTATAATTGTCTTTTTTTATATTTATTTTTTAGCTCCTTTATTCTCTTTAAAATCCAGGTATCACTTCACGAGGACAAAGTGGAGGAATATGAAATTTGACTAAGGCATGACCTCGAGTATAAAAAAATAACTTTTTGAATTTTGTTCACACTACGTAACACTATCACTACTATCAATTTCGACTTAGGAAATTTTAACTTTTGTTTCTATTAAGTACTTTCGGGATTGCTAAAGCTAAGTCTCTTTTTTTATTTATTAAATTTATTTTAATTTTTTTATAATCGAATCTGTCTATTTTAGATTCTTCGCACCATCAAGTTCTTCTTGGGCATCTTGGTAAGATTATTTTAGTTCACTCTTTTGAATTGGACCTATTTCTCATTTTAATTCAGAAACTGGGTATCTGGACATTATATATATCGGTCTTGATTATGAAAGCTTTGTGTGACCATGTGTCTTGGATCCTGGATCAGTAGGTTGCAAACAGAGACCAGAAAAGTTTGGATTTTATTTATATGAACTTTAAATCCTATAAATAAAATTTAAAATTTTCTGGGTCTCTGGTTGCAAAGTAATTGGACAGTTCTTACGAATACTGTATAGTGCTGCATATAAGTGCCCTCAGAATAGTATCCCCATTTTTTGACAAGCAATTTGTGGCCCAATTTCATAATTAAAAACACGATTATTTCATTTGGTTTGATACGTCTAATAGCAAGGTATACATTGACCAGTAACGATTATTTGTATTATTCTCTTATCTCTCAATATTTGGGGGGGTATTATTCAACCTAGGCTGGCTTTTTTGAATAGTACCTGGGGTACTATATGCAGCGCTATACAGTAGCACCATTGACTAAAATGGCCAAAATTTGTCTACTCTGATACTAATGCTAATTCTGACTATCATACAATCTATAGGAACTGTTCATAGATTATGCACTGTTGGGTTATGTTTGATCATATTACAACTATAGTCATTTGTATCTGCGACACCAGGGTTCAGCAAGTGCGGGTACATTAATTTTAAAAATGGCACTCATATTAATAGTACTATATAGAAATAAAGTGTAAAATAAAAAAAAAAGATCCTACCTAATACTGTAATCATTTTATTAGACCAAAATTACGTCAAAACTGAGTTCTTATTTGTTAACCTATAGTATATAATAGTTAAAGTTATTTAAATTGTAATATAGCAGACTGTCTATTTTATAATATTAATTAGTACACACCAATAATAATAACTCATTATGACTATAAAGTTTAATAAATTAAAATTAAACTTACTACATACGACAGTAAATCTGAAATATTACGACACTATGAACTAAGTTAAAATAAAAATTCTATAAAAAAAAGGAAAGAACTTTGAAAAATAATTCTAACCTTTAAGGTTTTTATAATTCAATGGCCAAGAAAAAAAAATTAACCGCTTTACAACAAGGTGGGATCTTGTATAGTCGCAATCGTGGTGAATCATATTCAACTATCGCTAAAATGTTAAATGTGGAAAGACTACAGTTCATGATGTCTTAAACATGCAGAAGCAGGAACTACCGTAGTGAAAAAATGTCCAGGCCGAAAGTCTATTTTTGACACACCCGCACTAGAAGAACTTAAAAAACTTGTTATACAAGATACTAATCATTGTCGTCTAAATGCTCGTGAAATACAAGAATTATGGAATAAAGAAAAAAATCAAACCGTCTCCATTTCTACAATACGTCGTGCTTTGAAAAAAACTGGTCTTCGTTCATATGTTGCTCGTCATAAACTACTAATTTCTAAAAAAATAAAGAAATACGATATGCTTGGGCTAAAGATCATCTACATTGGTCGACTCACCAATGGCGAAATATCATCTGGTCAGATGAGTCTTTTTTTAGACAATTTTCGTCAAGTCATAATATCAGAGTTTGGCGTACCCCTGCTGAAGAATTTGATGAATCATGTCTTGTTCCTACTGTGGGTCGTAGTCCTGGTCGTATGTTTTGGGGTTGTTTTTCATGGCATGGATTAGGACCAATTATTCCAATTCATGGCTGTATAAATAGTGAAGTATACACACAACTTATGAGAAAATATGCTATATCCGCTATACATTAACTAGTTCCTAATAGAAAAAGCATTTTTCAACAAGATAATGCGCCCTCTCACAAATCCAAAAAAGCTATGGATTTTTTTGATAATGCTGGTATTTCTATGTTACCCTGGCCACCGCAGAGCCTAGACTTGAACCCATTAGAGAACCTTTGGCAAGAGATTGAAAGCCATTTACGCAGTTCTTTGGATAAACCTACAAGCATTAAAGATTTGGAAGAAAAGGTCAAAGCTACTTGGAATTCGATTCCACCCAGATATTATCGTGGGCTAGTCAATAGTATGCCCAATCGGGTAAGGGCATGCTATGATGCTGAGGGTGGCTCAACTAAATATTAGTGTCATACAGTATA